AAAAAAAAAAAAAACATTATTAGCTATTTTTATTTTCTGCAACAGAAGACATTGCCACTTTCTCTAAACACTAATTCCTTTGAATCAAATTTAACCTCATTTTATATTGTCTTTTTGCCTTATTTTATGATGTATACATGGAAATACATGCATCACACATACGCACATGTACACACAAACTCATTCACTCATTGTGATAGCCTTCTGGCATTTTTTCCACAGTGTATTCTTGGGTGTGTGTGTATCTTAGTATCGTAGCATCTGAACTTCTGTGAGATCTGGGACTCCAAATTTAGGGCCTCACATCCACTGAGCCACCTTCCTAAGCCCAGTGTCCTGGGATTTCTTGTTCCCATTCCAGCTGTCCCAGTGTCCTTCTAATAAAACCCAGAAAAACAGTCATCTTGTCACAGATGCTTTCCTCCTCAGCCCTACCCCAGAGGTCACTTCTTTCTCCTTTGAACTACCCCGATGTTTCATCTCTGTGTTATCTCTTTCTGCTCCATGGCACATTGCTTATGTGCAGGAAGAATAAGAGGAAAGAAAGTGTGTTGGCTGTAGAGGCAGACACATCCGAGGATGGAACCCAGGTCCATCCTTCACTTGGTGGGTGGCCTTGGGGAAACACCAACTCCTGGGAGCTTCCACTTTTCGATTTAGCAAAGCAAAACTCTCCTCTCCCTCAGAATTGTTTTGAGAATTTGAAATAATATACACTAAATAGTGCTTGGTAGAATGCAAAAAGAAAGCAGTCAGTATCATTATTCGCATTGTTACTGGTGGTGTTGTTTTAGTTATTTCTTATATGCTCTAATTATTTATCTGCTTATTCAGCAGATATGTCTTGATTGCAAGTTACATACCAGGCAGTAGGAACCACATGGAAATAAGTACAGAGCACTTCAAATGGACAGAGGGAAAGTGAATATGAATAAGCAAACAAATAGAGACAGATAGCTGCAGATGAAGATAATGCTGTAGAGAAACTAAAAACAAGACATACAGCGGAGAGTGATAGGGACAGAGAACAAGGAAAAGGAGCGTTTGGACTTGGAACAGGCTAAGAAGGAAATACCTGTGAGGGCCTTTGAAGCCAACATGCCACATCCCTGTAGGGCCCAGCTGGCCTCATGCGCAGAATGGGTTTTATTCCCACTGGACCTGGGGATCTCTGGGAAAGCATGGCTCACTGAGTGGGCTTAGAATTATGTCTGTCATTGTGTCTGCCTCCCAGGGAGATGTCACCCAGCAGCTGGCACTCAGGATTCTATGAAAAGCAGAGGTCGAAGGAAGACAGGAAAAGGGAAGGAAAGAAAACTGAAAGGAAAGGGAACTATCAGGGAAGACATCTAGACTGGTGGATTTCACGGTTTTCAGAGATTCCAGTCCACAGTGAGATTGGCCATCTCGGGTGGGGGATTTTCCCTCCTCCTGTTAACATTTGTTGCCATATCGTCTCCTTCCTGGGGTGGTCCCAGATGGTGGTGGGGCCTGGGAAACCAGGAGGTCTTGCTCATCTCTATCTCTGGCACTCGTCACTGGCAGTTCTGTGTCTCAGGTCGCAGATAACAACTGTCAGATGGTCTTGCTGTGAAGCAATAAGCTTTCCCCTAAACAAGGAGGCAGGCCAAGCTCCAGGCAGGCCGAAGTCTGGACAGAACACACAGGCCTGTAGAGAATTAAAAGTTCATGTGTAATTGAATGAACAAAACACCTCAGGGAAAGGCAATGGGTTAAAGTAAAGCACAGAGTGTCCCCGGCACCCTTGATCACACAAAGAGTCATTGCACATCTTTGTGAAAGAAAAAAACAAGAATGGAGTGGAGGTGTGGGGGGTGTCCCCGGAATAATGACTGTAACCCTATGAGAAGTAAAAATGATGCCACAGAGGTTGGCTCAGCCCAAGAATGGAGAGAAAATTGGGAAGCAATAGGAACAGATAACACTCAAGACAGAGGCCTGCTCAGACCAGCATTTCTCCAGGGCCTCCAACTCCTTGTGGTCTGGAAGGCATTCCATCTCTCCAGGCAGGATAATAGAATCGGTTTGGCAAGGTCTCTCTGGACACCCTCTGCTCTTTAAAAACAAAAGAAAAAAATCAAAAATAAAAACAAAAGAGGATTGTTGATGGAATTAGATCATAAATGAAGAAGAAAAGCTGCCTATTCTTAAATGCTTTTTTTTTCTTTTAATTTTTTAATCTTAATTGGAAAAAGAATGGAACTTAAACCTAGTCAGCCACAGTAACCTAAATGGTTCAGAGGTCGTCCACTCCTGGATCAACATCTTCAAACAAATGCTTATGCCTCTGAACAAAACAGCAGCATCATTTGGATGATCCAGAAGTGTAGATGTGCTCGTCGTGGGGAAAATACACATATATACATACATATGTATACACACACATGAACATATATGTATATAAACCTATGTATACATACATAGATACATGTGTATATGTACACGTTTGTATGTGTATATGTACATATATGTATATATTGTGTATATATATATATATACCACCAGCGTAAAGGTATACAAGTTGTATTCCGTGGGAGTTTCTATTCTTGAGGTCGTAATGAAGTGTTTGGAATGAGAGATAGAACTGGCTTTGTTCCTGCTCACCCTTGCTTTCCTCACGGAGGCAGGGACTGGGAACGGGGGCAGATCAGGAAGTCTCACTATGGCATTCTGGGAATCAACAGAACCATGCCAAGATTGCACCTCTGGCTTAATTCTAAACTTGCCCTTAGCACACAACTTTATTTTACCAGAAGGCAGAGAGGGGAAGGATGAAGAGGTTCTCAAGTGTGGAATTGTTTGTCCTATGAGGCCTTTTAACTTCACCATTTGTCATGAGGTAAGAGATTGTGCCTGATTTTTGTAAAGATGTTTAGAATTACGTTCTGAGGCTAGATGTACAAGGTGTGAGCTGGGTAGGCAGTATGGTACATGCTTAATGAGCATGAGCCTGCGCTGTGAGCAGCAGCATCCTCAGATACAGACAGGAAAACTATGGCTCTCAGAACTTAAGGGGTTTTCTCATGCTTTCAGGTAATTAGGAATCTCAAGGTTAGCCCAAGGCTATTTAATTCTGATGCCAAAGTCATTCTCTAAAATAAAAACTCATCTTCTTGTGACGAATCAAAAAAAAAAAAA